TGGCTATGAAATTTTGGTCGTCACTTTGCTTAACATGGGGGTGTTGTGCATACTTCAAGCTTTCCAAAAGCTAACATTAGAGGAATATTCCATCTGAAAAGCTAGTAAAAAGAAAGAGGTGCCAAAATAACTCCGTGGTAGTAAAGATTTATTCTTTTGTAGATTTGGTATGACACGGTTCAGTTTCCTTTTAGCTAGGGTTCTGAGTAGATGTTTAAAAGCATAGAAGGGAAACTGGGGGGGGGGGGTTGGAGGGTTGGGGACTGAGGGTCTATGGTTGAAGCTCACCTTAGAAGCTTCATGTGGTTGCTAACTGGTATAAATTAAATGAGTTCTAATGTCAGCTGAACCTAAACCCAAGATTAAAATACTCCAAGCACAGTTGGAGCCAAGTTTTTTTTTTTTTAAGGAAATCTGTAAAAAGCCTTTAAGAGGTGTGAAGAATTGAAGAATTATTCTTATTCATAATAATGCTGTACAATCTCTAAATTTATACACTTACAAAGAATAAATAAAATAGGAAGCTATCATAACTTAAATCCCCTTAATGAAGGGACTCTGATATTCCTTTAATAATGGATTGTCACATCTCCTAAATTATGGAATTGTATACCATAAATACAATGATTCCCTGATTTCCTTATTGGACAGATTTTTCCACACTCCCCCTTGAGCAGGTGAATGAATGTTATCCATTCCAAGCTTGCTAATCATCTTTTGAAATATCACACCAGCTAGTCCTTGGTGAGCACATCCGCAACTTATCCATTAGTATAAACAAAAGGAGTACAAATCAGACCACCGTCTAGTTTTTCCTTTATGAAGTGTTTGTCAACTACAATGTATTTGGTGCGATCATGTTGTACAGGATTATGTGCTATGTTGATGGCTGACTTGTTGTCACAGTAGAATTTCATTGGTTTTTCAATTTCTACCTTTAAATCTGCTATAATGATTTTCAGCCACAATAGTTCACAAACCCCTAAAGCCATTGCTCTAAATTCCGCCTCTACACTAGACCTTGCTACAAAATTCTGCTTCTTGCTTCTCCATGTTACAAGATTTCTAGCAAGAAAGGTGCAATAACTTGATGTTGATTTTCGGTCAACTGGGGACCCTATATAGTCAGAATCTGTGTAGGCTTCAAGAGTCAATTTTTCTCCTTTCTTAAATAGAATTCCTTTTCCCAGAGTTCCCTTGAGGTACTGTAAGATTATGTTGACAGCTTGAAAGTGTACCTTTTTTGGATTGTGCATAAATTGACTTACAACACTAACTGCATAGGCAGCGTCAGGTTTGGTGTGTGACAAGTAGATTAGTTTCCCTACCAGTCTTTGATAAGCACTTTTCTCAACTAGGGCATCCTCAGGAGCTTCTCCGAGTCTGTGATTAAATTCTATTGGAGTCTCAATAGGCTTACACCCTAGCTTTCATTTTTCCTTCAGTAAATCCATCACATATTTCTGTTGCGAAATAAAGTTCCGATGCTTTGAGTGAGCAACTTCAATCCCAAGAAAGTATTTCAACCTACCTAGCTCTTTTGTCTTTAATCAAGCACCTCCTTAAAGCTTCTCTCCCTTCCATGTCATTTCCAGTTACCACAATGTCATCCACATATACCAACAAAACAGTTACTCCACCTAACGCCAAGTACTTGACAAACAGAGTATGATCTCCTTGACTTTGTTAATACCCCATTGCTAACATAACTTTAGCGAATCTCCCAAACCAAGCTCGAGGGG